TCTGAAGAAGGGTCTAGGCCCGAAAAGTCAGCTTTCCTGCACCTCTGATGCTGCTTGGCCTGCTGTGTTCATCCAGCTCTACACCCTGTTATCTCAGATTCTCCGGCATCTGCAGTTCCTACTATCTGTGGGAGGGTGAATAGTTGTTAATGGGAACTGTTAGTGACTAACAACAGGGGTTGTGTAATGGCAGGCTATGTGGTGACAAGGCCTGGTGTGTGGGGTAGGGGGCTGGGACATGGGAGAGTTTAGGCCCTAAAATTATTGAATCAATATTGAGTCCGGAGGGCAGCAGGGTCCCCGAGCGGAAAATGAGATGTTGTTCAACCAGCTTGTGCTGGGCTTTGCTGGAGCACTGCAGCATGCCAGAGACAGCGATGTTGGCCAGGGAGCAGGGTGGTGTGTTAAAGCGGCAGGCAACTGGTAGTTCAGGGTTTTTTTTGCGAGCAGAGCATAGGTGTTCTGCGAAGCGGTCACCAAGTCTACGCTTCGTTTCCCCAGTGTAGAGGAGACCATACTGTGAGCAGCAAATACAGTAGACTAGATTCTGGGAAGTGCAGGTGAAGTGTTGCTTCCCCTGGAAGGTATGTTGGGGCCCTTGGATATTGGGGAGGGAGGAGGGCAAGTGTTGCACCTTTGCCAGTTACAGGGGAAGGTGTCGTAGGGCTGTGGCGGGGGCAGGATTGTTGGGGGTGAAGGAAGTGTGGACCAGGTTGTCCCGGAGGGAATGGTCTTCATTTTGGTCTGTCAGCTTACTGATGAATTTCCTTTATTGTTGAGGCTAAAGGCAGTTCATCACTCTCCAGAGGTTGTTCAGACATGACTGTTTCAATATATGAACATTGCCAAGTAGCACTTGCCAGAAGTATATCACTGATGATGCTTTGTCCAATAGACTCTAGCCATTAGTCTCCCACAATATTTCTTTGAAAATTTCGTTTTGTTACAGAAAGATTTCACCAAATTAATGTCATTATTACTAGTTAATTTTGTACTCGAGGGCGTCTAACCATCTCCCCTTGACATTCAGTGCATTACCATCACTGAATCTCCCATTATCCTGGGGTTATCTTTGACCCAAAACGATTTGGACTAGTTGTAGAATTATACAACCACACAGTACAGAAGAGGCCCTTTCGCCTGTCAAGTCGTACCACCAAAAATATACAGCTACCCACAGTGGTCCATTTTTTTCTGCACGAGGCCCATAGCCTTGAATGTTATGACCATTCAAGTGCTTTTTAAAAGTTGTGAGGTTTCCTCCCAGGCAGTGCATTCCAGACACCCACTATCCACTGGGTGAAAATGTTTTCAACAAATCCTGTCCCTCACCTCAAAATGATGGCCTCTTGTTCTTGGGATGGCATGGTGGCTCAGTGGTTAGCACTGCTGCCTCACAGCGCCAGGAACCTGGGTTTGATTCCACCCTCGGGCAACTGTCTGTGTGAAGTTTGCACATTCTCCCCGTGTCTGCGTGCGTTTCCTCTGGGTGCTCTGGTTTCCTCCCACAATCCAAAGATGTGCAGGTGAGGTGGATTGGCCATGGGAAATTGCCCATAGTGTTCAGGGATGTGTAGATTAGATGGCTTATAGGGGGATGGGTCTGGGTGGGATGCTCTGAGGGTTGGTGTGGACGTGTTGGGCTGAAGGGCCTGTTTCCACACTTTAGGGGTTCTATGGCTCTATGGTGACCTTTCAATTAAGAGTAATAGCTGCTTTCTATTCTCAAAATCTTATACATCTCTGTCAGATTCTCCCTCAACCTTCTGTTCTCCAAAGAAAACAATCTGAGCTTATCCAACCTCTTTTCATCACTGAAATGCTCCATCCCAGATAGCCCCTCTACTGCAGTCATATCCTTCCTGTAGCGTGGTGACCAGAACTACACACAGTACTCCAGCTGTGACTTCACCAAAGTTCTGTGCAGCTCCAACATAGCCTCCCTGCTGTTACATCTGTGCCACAACTGACAAAGACAAGTGTCCCATATGCCTTCTTAACGACTGTATTATTCTGTCCTGCCACCTTTGGGGATCTGTGACAAGCACCCCAAGATCCCGTTCTTCCTCTGAATTTCCTAGTGTTGCTATTCGTTGAATAATCCCTTCTCTTGTTTCTTCTTCCAAAGTACATCATCTCACATTTATCAGCGTTAAATTCCATCTGCCACTGATCTTCCCATCAGGGCAATCGTTCAGTAACCTTCCTGTTCACTGTCAGCCACCCAGCCAATCTTTATGTCATCTGCAAACTTCCTTATCATCTCACCCAGATCTCCCCACAAAGGGATCCAGTATTGATCCCTGTGGCACACCACTTCACTTCAAGCTCCCCTCACACAAACAGCCTTCGACCCAGCACACACTGTCTCCTGTCACTATGTGAATTTTGAATCCATCTTGCTAAGTTATTGAGATCCAAAAGATCCCATTAACTTTTACCTGCTTCATCAGTTTCCCATGAGGGACCATGTCAAAGGCCTTGCTGAAATCCAAATAAATTCCGCCAAAGGCCCCACCCTCAACCAAACTCTTGGCCACCTCCTCATAAAATTCTGCCAGATTTATTAGACAAAACCTCCTCCTAGCAGGAACAAAAACAAAGTAGCTGGAAAAGCTCAGCAGGTTTGGCAGCATCTGTGAAGGAAAAAACAGAGTTAACGTTTCGGGTTTGGTGACCCTTAGCTATGCCTGATTATCCCTGATATACATATTTTGCCTCTAAGAACAGATGAGGGGCTCAGAGTTCTACAATGAGCAACTCACCACTGACTCCATAAAGCCTGTACAGCATCTGCAAGGCACAAATCAGGAGTGTGATGGAATACTCCCCACTTGCCTGGATGGGTGCAGCTCCAACAACACTCAAGAAGCTCAACACCGTTCCAGGGCAAAGCAGCCCGCTTGTTTGGTACCCCATTCACCATCTTCAGCATTCACCTCCTTCACTGCTGATAGATAATAGCAACAGTGTGACCATCTACCCAAGATGCACTGCTTATATTCACTAAAGCTAATTAGAAAGCACCTTTCAAATGCATAACCTCTGCTTCTGGAAGGACAAGGGCAGCAGATACATGGGAACACCACCACCTGCAAGTTCCCCTCCAAATCACTCACCATCCTGACATGGAAATATGTTGCCGTTCCTTCACTGTCACTGGGTTAAAATTCTGGAACTCTCTCTCTAGCAGTGCTGCGGCTGTATTTAGACCACATGGACCACAGCAGTTCAAGGAGGCAGCTCAATACTACCTTCTCAAGAACCATTAGGGATTGGCAATAAATGCTGCCCTGTCTAGCAAAGACCACATTCTCTGAATGAATAAAAAAACTATTTAAATGTTGCTGGTTGTGTTATAAATGTTTTCCATGACATTAGGATGGCCCTGTGGCTCAGTGGTTAGCACTGCCACCTCACAGCACCAGGGATCCAGGTTCGATTCCACCCTCGAGTGACTGTTTGTATGGAGTTTGCATGTTCTCCCCATGTGTGGGTGCTCCAGTTTTCTCCCACAGTCTAAAGATTTGCGGGGTTGGTGGATTGGCCATGCTAAATTTTCCATAATTCGCAGGCTAGGTGCATTATCCATGGAAAATGCAGGGTTACAGGGATAGGGCCTAGGAAGGTGGGTTTGGGTAGGATACTCTTAAGTGGGCTGGTGCAGACTCAATGGGCAGAATTTGCCTCTTTCTATACTGTAGGGTTTCTGTGAATTCTCCTGATCTTGCAACAGCACATCTGAGAGAGCAGATGATATCTTCATATAAAGCCTGATCTGAAAGACATCTCCTGCTACCCACTCAGTACAGCTCTGAAGCATTCATAGGACTAGGATTGTCAGCTTTCTGACTCAGGTGACAGTGCTAGCAGTGAGTCTGTCCAGTTAACTCCTCAGTGGGCTGTTGCCATGGATTGAGTTGCGAGGAATAAAAACATCAACCTCTTGATAAAAACAAGCAAAGCACAGCTGGCATACCTAAACCTGTTGAGTTAGGTTTTTACTCTGAGCTATGTCCAGAATTTGTGTGAGAGGACTGATAATTGGGTGAGATAAAATCAAGAAATTACATGTCGCTAAGTAATGAAATTATAGTAGTCTGATTAGAAAATGGAAGAGAAGGAATTGGCTTAACTTCTGTAAAGTTTTCTTGTCCTATGAGTTCCAGCCATTTTCTATTTATTATAGATTTTCAGGACTGTCTGGTTTTCCTTTTAAATGTGGTCTTCAACTTTTCACTCATTTCTTCAATTCATCATTGTATTTCTTTCTTTACATTTAGGTGATAGGGAAGAATGAAGTTGCTGTACCAACACATCTATACAAAATCATCCTCGTTCAGAAGGGCAAGGCACCCTCTGAATTGTTGGCACTGGGAGCTTTTGTTGTGCCCAACAGCCCAATTGGCTTTGACCACCAGTTGTCTGAATATCAAATAGACCTCCAGGACCTGGAGAAGATGTCTGGGGTCACTTTCTTCCCAGCCTTGGACAAAACCAAACAGTGCCATGATCTCTGCGAGACAGACACTTGCAAGCTGCTGAACTTTGCAGAGTTCACTCAGTACATCACCGGGCGCAAAATGAAGAATGCCAGAACTTTGCAAGGGTTGGAGAAAATCATGGGCGAGCTCCGGGAAAGTGGGATTGAGCCAGATGAGTACCTGCAGAATCTGTACCTGAAGAAAAAGCAAGAGGTGGAATGGAAGGAAGCAGCTGAAAGCAGAGCAGCCAAAGCTGGTTAAACCATGTAGACTTCATGAGTGTGTACTGGCATAAGATGTACGCCGATATGCACTGGCATACAGGTTATGGGATGGTACAGAACTATGCTGTATCTGCTTACATATGGATGTATATTTTGTGCCGAGATGTACTGCATAAGGTACGTATGTATTGACCAATACAGCAAGCACACTGCTTTAATGTGTCTTCAGATCACTGCTGAAATGGTTTGTAGATACATACTTTCATAGTATGAGATATTATTTGCTGACTGGCATAGGATATGCAAAGTTAAATGATGATGAGATGACAGAAATACTTTGACAAAGTATATGTAGATATGTGCTCCAATAAGAAACATGCTATTAGATATGGCTGTAAACTATGTGGTGTTTTGTACAGTTTTATGTAGGTACCTAATAATAAATTGTTTATACCAATAAAAGCTGATGTATGGCATGTATAATTATCTGCTAATTTGACTATTCGCTGATGATTTAGATCTATTCTTGTGCTTTAATTTTTTCCAGTTGCCACCTTATTTTAATCCCCACTTTATGTGATTTTTTGAAAGCCTCCTTGCTTCAGGACTGCTGCTCCTGAGGTGAGGGAAATTTTGCTAAGACTCCCCAAGCCAGATTTCCCATTGTCAACAGAGCGCAAATGGGTCGGGGCGGAAATAGGCCCCAGAATTTCACCCTGCTGTGTCTTGTACAGATTCATCTTTAAAACGAGCTGCCACTCAAAGACACACTGATCTCGCTGATTTGTTGATTTGCACTGGATCGCCTGGAGATTTGAACCACATATGTCTGAGAATGTTGAAGGTTACAGCACCAGTATGATCCATCTGATGCACTGTTGAACCTGGTTGTGGGTCCACCAACCAATTGTGATACAGAGATAGTAAGAACTGCCGATGCTGGAGTCAGAGATAACACAGTGTGGAGCTGGAGGAACACAGCAGGCCAGGTAGCATCAGAGGAGCAGGAAAGCTGATGTTTCAGGTCAGGACCCGTCTTCATTTTCTGAAGAAGAGTCCCGACCTGAAACGTCAGCTTTCCTCTCCTCTGATGCTGCCTGGCCTGCTGTGTTCCTCCAGCCCCACACTGCATTATCAATTGTGATACACTTTGGAAAAACAATCATGATGTCTACATGAGACAGCCTGTAAGCGTAGTTGGCAAATATAAGCAAAAGAACCAAAAGGGAACAGCATGGTGGCTCAGTGGTTAGCACTGTTGCCTCACAGTGCCAGGAACCCAGGTTCAATTCCACCTTGGGCAACTGTTGGTGTGGAGTTTGCACATTCTCCCTGTGTCTGTGTGGGTTTCCTCCCACAGTCCAAAGATGTGCAGGCTAGGTGGATTGGCCATGCTAAATTGCCTGTAGTGTTCAGGGATGTGTAGATTAGGTGGGGGATGGGTCTGGATGGAACGCTCTGAGGGTCGGTGTGGACTTGTTGGGCCGAAGGGCCTGATTCTACAGAATTGGGAGAATCTTTTTACATAGCAAATCATGATCTGTAATGTTCAACCTGGAGCAGGAGAAACAGGCTCAATTGTAATTTTCAAAAGGCAGTTAGATAAATACTTGAGATGGAACTAATTTGACAGCTCTATCAAACAGCAGGCACAGAACAATGGGCCAAGAAGCCTCATGTGCCATATTGTTCTATGATGTTAATTTAGACATTAAACAAAAATACAGTCATTTTAATTTGTTGTATTAGATCATTTCCTATACGGTCGAATATTCACATTGCAGCATGGATATTGTGGAAGTCCTTGCTTATTGCAGATAGGCAATCACTTACATGTTACGTATGCCTAATGATGAATGGTTACTGTGATCAATACTCACTGGTTGGCTCTGCTGCCTTTCAGCACCAAGGACCCAGGTTCAATTCCAGCCTCAGGTGACTGTCTGTGTGGAGTTCGCACGTTCTCCCTGTGTCTGTGTGGGTTTCCGCCAGGTGCTCCATTTTCCTCCGACAGTCCCAAGATGTACAGGTTAGGTGGATTGGCTATGGGAAATGCAGGGATGTTGGGGAGGGCAGAGGTTTGATGTGGACTTGATGATTATGTGGCCTGCTTTCACACTGTAGGGATTCTATTCTAAATGCTGACAGATTGCAAACAAAAACTGATCTTTATGTGGCTTTTGAGAGTACAAATTATTGGTTCAGCAAATGTCTAAAGCTGCTTTTTAATTCAGAAGAATCTTCGTACAAAGCTAAGCATTTCTGCCAGAAGAGATTTTTTTAATCGATTTGTTCTTTCAGGGGAACAATGCTAAAAACAGTTGCTGGCAGTGCTAAGCCCTGGGTTTATAAATTTCTTCTTATTCATTTCTTTCAGCCTGTAAGGAAGGCAGGGTCTAAAGTTGCCAATGTTGGATTCCTTGTGACACCGGATACAAGTAATCAGGCTTAATATTTAATCCTCCGGCTCCAGAAATGCCGAATCTTTGGGCTATCCTGCGATCAAACAAATAGTACGTCCGTGTCTCACAACAGATGGTAGATGGAAGAGGACCCATCAGCATTCTTTTGCTAGAATCAGTATCCATTAATACTCGACCATGCATATTGTTTACAAGTAATTGACTTATTGTTTGTTAAATACTGCAGGAAGGTTGATTTTCTGGAGTATGTACAACATGCCTCTATATGTCAGCAATGGGGTGCACTCTGCTTGTTAGCTCCTGCAATGGCACCTGCCATCTGCAAACAATACAGTGGTCCAAAAATGGACATAGACCACCCCCACAAAGTTTGTAAGGCTTTAATCTGCTTTCAGAGTTCAAACAATGATCAAAAATAGACTTTGCTTTACATCCTGCACACAAATGCATTGCCTGCTGTCCCATAGAGCCTTAAAGACTAAGAAGGTTGCAGGTTCCAGTCCACTTTTGTCGTGGGGTTATGTTACTGAGTAATGATCCAAGGAATGTGAGTTCAAATCCCGCAATGGCAGCTTGAGAATTTAAACTCAGTTTGAAGATTAATTTGGCTGGTATCAGTAAAAGTGACCATGAAGCTGTCGGATCAGTATAAACAAAACAATCAAAGCTGTTTGTTAATGAGCTCCAGGGAGAGATACCATCCGTCCTCGCCCAGTGTGATTTCAGCCACACCAACAAGGTGCATCCTTACCCACCCTCTGAATTGGCTTACCATGCCGCTCGGCTATGTTCGGGGCAACTAGGAGTGGAGACACAAAATGTCTCGCCAGCAATGCCCACTTTGTGAGAATGCTGTTTTTTGGAAAAGGTTCCATCAGCGTAGTTTGCTGATTGTAGCTGCGGATTTGACATTAGTGGACAGACATCATTTTTCTGATGAAGGGTCTAGATCCGAAACGTCAGCCTTTCTGCTCCTATGATGCTGCTTGCCCTGCTGTGTTCATCCAGCCCTGCACCTTGTTGTCTCTGTTAGTGGACAGACATCAGCTCAGGCATCTGCTGTGTATCATTATCCAGTGGGAGCATCACTCCAGGCAGATGGATCAAGAGCTCAAAAATGGGACCAGGCTGGGTGGTCCCTTTTCCGGCTGGTGCAGAGAGGTCTCCTTCCGTGCCGTCAGTGTTTCTGCATAGAGCTGTACAGCATGGAAATAGGCCCTTTGGCCCAACTTTTCCATGCTGCCCAGTTTTCACAATTTAACTAGACTGCATTTGGCTCACATCCTCCATTCCAATCCCATCTATGTACCTGTCTAAATTTTTCTTAAATTATGAAATTGTACTCACTTCCATCACTACCCCTGGCAGCCCATTCTAGACACTCACCACCCTTTGTGTGAAAAAATTGCCCCTCTGAACCCTTTTGTATTTCTCCCCTCTTACCTTAAACCTATGCCCTATAGTTTTAGACTCCCCTACCATGGGGAAAAGCTGTCAGCTATCTACCTTATCTATGCCTCTCATGATTTATATACCTCTATAAAATCAAAATTTTCTAAATACTTGAAGAGGAGGGATGTGCGGAGAAGGGATGGGAGTGGCGGTATGTAAATTACTGCTTGGGAGAGCCAGGATGAACACAGAGGGCTGAATGGCCTTCTGTGCTGTAACGATCCTGGAAATGTAGCTGCCTAAGGTTCTTTCAAGGTTAGAAATAGGCTTGCTTCTGAAGCTCCGCTCGGTCAAAATGCATCCAATTTCTGCTGTCTAACTAAGCTCACTGGTGAAGGAGGACCCCAGTGACTCAGATAATAGAGAGGTAAATTCACTGAAGATCTAAAGGAACTAGGGGAAAGGTTAAGAGAGATTTGTTTAATCTGCCAGTTGTCAGTGTTTGGAATGCACTACCAGAGACACTGTTGGGAAAAGAACTTAATAGCTTTCGCAAGGGAGGTGGGTATACATTTGAAAAATACAAAACAAAGTAATATCGGAATTGGAATCAGACATGCAAAGCTTTCTCAATAACATGACAGAGCTGAACGGCATCATGTGTGTTTTGAGATATGTGTCACGATTGCCAATGCTATGTGAATTGAGCAGAAAACAGCAATAAACCAACATTCTGCAAGCATTGTATAAAGAATGATGAATAGCTACATCTCAGCTCAAGGTGTTCCTTGACTCAATCGTGTTGCTAGCTTTTAGTGTGTCATTCCTGACCTATTGAAGTTTCTCAGCTATCTTGATATTACAAGCCCTGTGGCCATTCACAGCCAGCTGAAGTCCTGTGTGTTTGACTTTAAACATTGACATTTGGGAAGTCTGCACTGCATTCTATGGCTACCCGTGGCCCTGGCCAGACCTTGAGACTGTCTGACCCTGGCATAGTAGGCATTGTAGAGGGCAAGTGTGGGGCTTTCCCTCAGGCTGTCGTTAAAGCAGGTGCTCCCAGAGGTCAGAAGCAATCTCCCCAACTCCCTGCTGTTGTGATTCATTTTTCATCCTCAGAACAGATGAATCTTGACAAGTCTGCATCTATCCTGGAGTGAAAGCGTCTTCTGTAGTTGGATCAGGATTTCAGTATGCTGCTTCTCAGGATTCCTCTCGTGGGCCTCACTCCTGGTTAAATTGTACTTGCCTAGCACTTTTCACAACCTCAACCTCTTTAAAGCCAATGAAGCACTTCTTGAAGCGTTGTCTCTGGTGTAATAGAAGAAATGGGAAAATCAACTGTGGACAGCAAGGTTCAATAAAATCTACATGAGCAGATCTCGTATTTTTTGATTTTGTTTGAGGAATGAATTTGTTGACTAGATGCTAGAAAGAACTCTGGTACTCTTCAGAGTTGTGCCAAGGTAACCTTTGACATGCATCTTAGAGATTCATCTCCACACTGGAGTATCAGCCTAGCTCTGAGCTCAAAGGTTTTCGGAGAATGGCTTCAACACATTAACTGCTGGCTCAATGCCTCCCAAAAGGCTAACATTTATGTAGCAAACTTTGTTCTAACCGGCACCTTTTGACAGGCACTCTGGA